ATAATAATAAAGTTGGAAGGGACCTTGGAGGTCATCAAGTCCAACCCCCTGCTCAGGCAGGTAACCCTATACCATTTTGGACAAATGGCTGTCCAGTTTCTTCTTAAAAACTTCCAGTGTTGGAGCATTCACCGCTTCTGGAGGCAGGTTGTTCCACTGGTTAATTGTTCTAACTGTCAGGAAGTTTCTCCTTAGTTCTTGGTTGTTTCTCTCTTTGGTTAGTTTCCACCCATTGCTTCTTGTCCTGCCTTCAGGCGCTTTGGAAAATAGCTTGACTCCCTCTTCTTTGTGGCAGCCCCTGAGATATTGTAACACTGCTATCATGTCCCCCCTCGTCCTTCTCTTCGTTAAACTAGACATACCCAATTCCAGCAACCGTTCCTTATATGTTTTAGCCTCCAGTCCCCTAATCATCTTTGTTGCTCTTTCTAGAGTCTCAATTGCCAGAACCTGGAACAGAGCCTGGATTATTTTCCCCTTTATTCTCCATTCAAGGTGCTGGTTACTACCTCTAAAGCCCAAGAAGACATATGGCCTGGTTATATGATGTACTTCCTGTCCCACATAGTATTTGTCTGGTTGGATCGATCTAATAGGATTGGCTCCCTTTAGGCCCCATCAATTAAATGATAACATTTATAGGGAGCCTGAAAGAGCATGTTCTCTTTAACAGCATCTTCCTTCTTGAATGTGGCACCTCCCAAATTCGAACTCTAGTCTGTTTCAAAGGTCTCTGAAGCTATGGTGTTTGCCCAGGCCTTTGGCAAAGTTGATTAATGCCCCTTCCTTTCCCCCCCTTGTTTCGATCTGGTGCATTCTCTCTATCAAGTCTGCTGTTTTGTATTGTTTTTGTTTCTTTATATTTTTTCTTGTTTTTAAATTCTTTTAACAATCTGTAAACTACCCAGAGTGACTACTGTGTTTTCCCCAAAATAAGACCCTGTCTTATTTTTTTTTTTGCTTCCAAAAGAGGCACCAGGTCTTATTTCCAGCTGAGATTGGAACTCCAGCCTGCATTTCACAGTCAAAGGCCTTAGCTCAGTTCTCAGCTGCAGTGGCCTTCTGGAAAGGCCTCTGAGTGTGAAATGCAGCCCGGGGGATGCCGCAGAAGAAGGTGGCCAGCGAGGAGAGGCAGGTGTCGATTCATGAGAGGCCTGGTAAGTGGGTGCGGGGTGTGTGGGGCAGTTCCATCCTCCACCCCTGCCCTAGCTTGATTTTTAGGCATGCACCTCTCCCCAAAACAAGGGCTTATTTTCAGGGTAGGTATTACTTTTGGGGAAACATGGTATATATTATCCAACTATCATCTGTTTGTTTGTCTGTCTGTCTATACTACCCCCCCCCCCCACACATATTTTAGATCACTGATCTCCCACACAGAGCCCATGCTATTGTTATGGTACCTGAGTGAATCCATAATGCCACTGGATTTTGTCTTGATGAATAAGGAAGGATTCTCCAGGAGGAGCTTGCAGATCTATTTCTCCAACTGGGATGTTGATATAGGAGTTGTTTGGGAAAGTAACCAAATTTACAATGTCAAATCCAGCATCTAGCGCTCCATCTTCATTTAATTTCATCTCCAGCATTGTTGTTGAAGGAAATTCTCTGCAGAAATGAATGGAGCTTGCAGAAGAAAAAGCATAAGGGTTAAAGGGAAACAGATAAGTTTCCTAAAGGGCCCCCAAAAACAGCCTTTTTAAAATTTGGACAATTTCTTCCCTGAGAATAAAAAGTAGAGGACTGGAACAGTCTCGATTTTATATTGGACCATAGTCCACCTAACAGACTAAAATCTGTTGGTTTTCTTCAATGACAATTGAGAAAGGTAGATGGAAAAGAGCAAGAAGAAGCTAATGGAAGAAAATTACTGCAGAGAAGTAGAAAGGCAGAAGTATGTTAAAGACCAGTTTTGTTGGTGTGAAAGGAGGAAAAAGCTGAGATATGTAGGCAAAGGACAATACCTTCAGTGGGTCAATATTTGTAATGTATTAATCTTGAAGAAAGATAAACATCAGTGATGTTTAGATAGCTGGTCTATAATGATCTGTTGACTCATTAAGTCCTGGCACTCTGTTGTAACCAAGGAGAACATTTCAAAAGAGCCGTGAGGAAGAGGAACACTTACCTGCCAGGATTCTACAATCTTTGATCGCACTTGATCCCTGTCCCTTTGTATGTTCTGATGTGTCCTAATTGTGTGAGCAGCTTGAGCCACAGCATAGACAGCATTGTAGATACTGTAACTATGGCTAAGCATGCTGGTTTCAAAGAAGGGTGCAAGAAGGTTCTCCAGTCTTTCTTCTCCAGTACAGTCCCCTTCTTCAGGAACATCTTTATTTGGTATGGAGCAGCTAAAAGCTTGGTTCCAAAAATCTCTGATGAAGCCATCTTGATTTGCCCCAGAAAAGGTGACAGACTGTATATATGGTTGGAAACCTGGAAGTTTCTTTTTGCTAATTGAGAAGGAAATGGCCCCATGGAACATTTGCATATCAAGCTCCCTTTGGAAGGTATGTAATGTGAAATCATGTTGTGCCATTGTGATCCACACTTTTCGTGTGGAAACTTTGTGTGTAGAATCAAAAAGCATTGGGAAATAAAACTGGATGCCTTGTAGAGTAGAGGCCAGCCACATAAAGACTGTATTTTCTCCATGTATAATAACTGCATTTGCTGTTTTCTCTGTGAACAAAGTAATGTGCCTCAAACATCGTTCAACCAAGTCTAATCCTTCAGAAGAAGGTAAATTTCTCTCAACCCTTTCAGTAAACTCAGAGCAGATTTTATTTTGCGAGAGCATAGGTTCCAGAGTTTGTATGAAATGTTCTCCATATTTGTCATCTACAATGACAAATCCTACCCATTTCCATCCAAAGTACAGGAGGAGCTGAATTAAACCCTCATACTGGAGAGCTTCATCGGGGGCCATGCGATAAAAAGGGGGGAAACGTGATTCAGCAGTCACTACCATTTGAAATGAGCCATATGAAATCTAAAAGAAAGAAAGAAGGAATAAGAGAAAGAGAGAATGATATGGAAAGAGAATGTATGGATGGATATATTCCATTTTTATTGATTTAAACCACTTTATTTTTCAAAATATGGTTTTTTAATACATAGATTTGGTTTAGAGATCTCTCCAAAAGGGAGATATCCTTTTTGAATCTTATATGTCTATGTATGTATGTATGTATGTATGTATGTATGTATGTATGTATTTATATCTATCTATCTATCTATCTATCTATCTATCTATCTATCTATCTATCTATCTATCTATCTATCTATCTATCTATCATCATCATCATCATCTTTATCATCATCTCAAGTCTTCTTCTTGAAGATAACATAAGTATTTGAATTTAAAGAATCAAATCTTTAGTTCTTCCTAGGTGAATATTTCTTCCACGTATTGTCCTCCACATTTTATAAAATCCAGATGTTTGTGCACATTATGCTTAAAATATATAAATTGATAATAATGAGGCAGTTAATGACAGCTAGCATATGCTTGCAGGTTCAAACAATTATGCACTAAAATTCTGTGTGTCTTAATTCATCTTACTGGAAGAAGCAATATACTGAAGAGAAACATGGATTAATCCAAGTCCACACTTTATCCTAATTACTTTACTTCTCTTTACCCTAATTTCTTTACATCTCTTTACTGATATACCATCAAATTGCTTCTTGAAGGGGAAATCAAGAGGAGACCATCTGTGAGAGACTTCCGGTGGCAGGCGACCTCGTCGGATGCAGCTGTAGCTGCCTCCTGCCTGTTTTTGCGTAAAAGCCGTTTTGACAGCTAGCATCAGCTGTCAAACGGCTTGATACCTTTCCCCTGGGCAGAGGGGGATAGGTGAGCTACCTGGGGTAGGAGTTGAGTTCCCGAGTCGTCCCTTGTGGACGATGTAGGTGAGAACTCCTCCGGAGCCCCGGGCTTCTCCGCGATCCAGGACGCCTTCGCGTTAGCGAAGCTAGA